AGAAATGCCTCTCTGCTGCTCCTTCTCTGCTTCTCTTCCTCACTGTCCAACACCTCCTCTTCATCCCTCTGACACTCTGAATAATCTGGATTCAGATCATTCTGCATCTTCTTTAGCTCGTCCTTCACAAACATGATAATGTTTCCCTCCAGCATCTGGAAAATAAGCAACACAATCTGAATTCACAAAAATCAGATCTTCATAGTAAAAATTTTTTTTCACAGATTTGTTTTGTGTGTGTTTTCAATTTAACAAAAATACCCTGTACTTATGTTCATTTTACAGGAAACAATAAAATAATAACATAAATTAAATTAAATAAGTACTCGGTTATTTCCCCATCTTACATCTTATGTTCCCTGTAGTTTCCTGCAAATTCCAGTACAGGGTACTTGCACCTTATTTTCAGGTCGTGTTATAAAGTTATGCTGAAGCTTTGCTTTGAAAAGTGTTATATAAATAAAAATAAAGTAAAAAATGAATTCCATGTTGAATTATGTCTGGAATTTTGCCATAATTTTATGACGAATATTGTACTGTGCAACATGAAAATAATTACAAGCAGAGGTTGGTGTACATGTACAAACCTTAAATATTGAGTCCAGATCAGATTGATGCTGCAGGCTCTCCTCATCAGCTCTGTGTAGACATCATTATTTATTTATTTATTTTTTAGAAAGAGGGGCAATACATATTAATGAACATTTTAACAAATGTAAATATGCCAGATTATAGCCTTGGGCTAATTTTCATCTGCATGAAGAAATTAGAACCATTTACCACATAAATACAAGCCAACGATTTCTTCTTCTACTGTTAGATGATCATCCTGATTAAAACAAGCACAACTGTGCTATAACAAACCTATTATGTTAATTTATAGACTTATTTATTGGACTCCACTAGTCCAAAACTAACAGGTCAGTGATGGTTCTGTACCAGTGTTCTTGTAATGACCATATTATGGATATTTCCTGCACATTGCATCATCACATTAAAAAAGTCAGATTCGTGACCGTTTTTAAAAATACAAACACCAGGGAAGAGCATCTTACAGCAGCTGAAGCTTTTTTCTGAGTAAAAAAACTTAAAATACACAAATTAAAAAATCGTAAGATGACACTTTGAATCAGCTACATCTGTGGTGTCCAGATGCTGAACAACAAAATGACCCATTTTGTCATGTTATTTCATGGAGGTCATATAAAAAGGAACCACTGGTGAAAAATGTAATGGTAAATAGCCTGCATTTGTATGGCGCTCAGTCCCTAAGGACCCCAAAGCGCTTCACACTACATTCAGTCATTCACACACTGGCAATAGCAAGCTACATTGTAGCCACAGCTGCCCTGGGGCGCACTGACAGAGGCGAGGCTGCCGGACACAGGCGCCACCGGGCCCTCTGACCACCACCAGTAGGCAAACATGGGGTTAGTATCTTGCCCAAGGATATTTGGCATGCAGCCAGGATGCAGCCTGGGATCGAACCACCGACCTTCTGATTAGTGGCTGCCCTGCTCTGCCACCTGAGCTACAGCCACCCCAATCGAATGTAATGTAAATATCAAGTTTAAAAAAAAGATTTGCTGTTGTCCTTATTAGTTTTGTTGACGATTGTCATGGTGATGGTGTGTCACTATGAATTATGAGAATCATTTAATAGTTAGAGAAATCCATCAGCTCATATGGTGGCATCCAGCACCACACATACAGCTGCAGATCATTTCACCTTCCTACGCAAAACTGGCAACCGCATCAGAGTCAAAAGAGTCAAACTAACTGCTGACACATTCCTGCTGATTACCATATAAATTATAATCAGTGTGATGCCCAGTGCAGGGGATGCAGGGCTGTTAAGATAGATTTATTTTTATTTTAAGTTAGCAGCCTCACTTATGGAGCTCTTCAATCTCAGGACTGAGGCCAGGTGTACCACAGAGCTGTAAGGTAAATGTGAAAGTCTTACTCCTCAGCAGCAGCAGACTTTCTTCCTTTAAAGTTGGTGATGAAATATTTTGACCGATCACTCTTCAAAGACACACAGCTGGGTCCAGGTTCAGGTTGAAGCGCATCTGGTGTCTCAGTGATCCTGGTGAACAGAGAAATTAAATTTTTAGCCTTCTGACACAAAAAGTAGGATAAACTTGGAGCTTGTCACAGTGATAATATTACAGTAAGGCTAAAACGTTTGATGCGCTTCACAATGTTCTCTTTAGTCTGTTTGTTTATCCAACTGTCTTTTCTTCTTTTTGTGAACAAAGTTAAAAATAAATCAATAAATCAATAAACCAAACTTGTTTACTCATGGAGTTAAGATACGTTTAACATTTTGTTAAGTCTTACCTCTCATCAGGAGTCAGTTTCCTGCTTTTAAAGTCAGGACGGTCTTTCTCTGGAGAGCTTCTCTTCCTCATTGTTACAGAGCTGAGTCTGGTCTCAGGCTCAGGAGAGTCTGGTCTGAGGAGTGAGGAAAAGAATAAGGCAGGGTTCTATATATACACTTTTTTAATCTCCAGGTGGAACATACGCTGGAAAAACTTTGCAGGGTTAAATTGAAT